GGGGGGGACCAGGTTTGCTGGTCTGATAGAGCCTGGTGGAACCACTGAGACTATGGCCCCTAGCTGCCCTTCAGGTCTGGAATGGAACCCACACCTGTGGCTTACAGCCAAACAAAAGACAAGCATATGAGGTGAACATTTACCTGAGGTAGATACACTCCTTGGAGAGAACATTCATGGGAGAATAGAAGGGTTGTGTATGCACAGGGACATAGCTCAGGGGGCAGGAGTACATGGAGGGAAGGACACAGGGAAGAGGTAACTATGGGGAGGAAGTTGAAGGGGAGGTGTTGCATTGTGGGAAATTGTAGTCAATGTCATGAGACAAAGTGTATGTGAGCTGCTGTATGGAAAGTGAATTTGCTCTGTAACCTTTCATCCAAATCACAATAAAATAATAATAGTAATAATAATATTTCAAAAAAAAATTCATGGCTGAACTTGTAAGGAAAAAAAAATGAAACTTCAGGGGCCCAAAATTCTCAAGACAATGGTCACAGGGGACATACAGCTCAATTAGCATAAGATATTACACAAAAACATTACTTTACATCCCACTTTGGTGAGTAAAAGCTTGCAAGCAGTCATCTAGATGCAACAATGGGTCTGTCCTCATCCAGAGCCAAGAAGAATGAAGAAAACCAAAGACATGTGGAAACAATTAGTCCAAGCGACTGGTAGAGCATGTAATCCTCAGTCTATATGACCATGAGACCAGAACTAGATGGTGCACAGCTACCACTGTCAACCACTCAGAGGGGGATCGGTGCAGGAGATCCTAGATAGAGTGGGAGAACAATGTGGAACAAAACTTAAAATCATGAAAAAAAAAAAAAAAAAGACCAGGTTTGCTGATCTGACAGAGCCTGGTGGGACCCCTGAAACTATGGCCCCTAGTTACTTCAGGTCTGGAACTGACCTCACTCCTATGGCTTCTAGCCAAACAACAGACAGACTCTAGGTGATGAACATTTACATCAGGTAGATTCACTCCATGCAGTGATCAATCGATCAATCAATCAATTGTGGGAGAACAGAGGGCAATGTTTACACAGGGAGATAGTTCAGGGGATGGGAGTACATGGGAGGAGGGATGGACAAAGGGAAGAGGTAACTACAGGGAGGAAGTGGGAAGAGAGCTGTTACATTGCGAGGAATTGTAGTCAATATCATGAAACAAAATGTGTATGAACTGCTGTATGGAAGATGAATTTGCTTTGTAAACTTTCACCCAAATCACAAGAAATTTTTTTTTTAAAAAAAGAACTCTGCTTGAAAGTGTCTGTATCTCTCAAGATCAAAGAGCACAAAAAACAAAACCATCCAGAGATCCTCCTGCTTTTTCATTTTCAAACTAAAAATCCCTCTATGGCCACCAATGTTTCTCTGTTTAGACAGTCAGTAGAATGGGTGACCTCACTTTCCCCAACAGGTGTGTCTTAAAATGTTATGGGGAAAACAAAACTTTAGCAAATAGATTCCTATCTTAAATGCCTAGCAGTGGTCATTGTTTTAGCAATCCTGAAGCATCTCCCTTGCAAGGCAAATACCTGATTAAGATGTTAACACCATGTTTTGTAAATAATGTTTTGGTGCAGTGTAAGAGCCAATCCCCAAAGCTGTCTGAGTGTCTGAGAGACCAGTGGGGCTGCCTAGTCTAGAGCTCATTATATGAGACAAAGGATCCTTCTGCAAGAGGTATCATCCAAGGGTAGAAGAAATCAGTACAAGCTTGATCCAATAACGAAGGTCCAGGTATTGGAGGGGAGGCATGATTCAGAGCCTAGAACCCTGGCTATGTTAGCTTTCTTCTCAGCCACCTTTGGATTCAAGTCAAATCATACAGTGAGAAAGGGTTGTGAACACAAGTTCCAGAAGATGCCACAGCCCTTCTTTTGACGTCCCTATTAAAGAGGTGAGTAGTGTTCTTCCCATTTCAGCCCCAGACCAAACAGACAGTGGTGCCTTGAAGGCTCCAGCATACCTAGGGCCCTCCAGGTACCTTGGGGCTCCTCAACAGGAGCAGGATGACAGGGTTGCAGGGCAATGATGGAGACACCCAGGTGGTGCTGCTGACAGCACCAGAACACAAGACAACCTCATTGGCACAGAGCTCAAAGTCTTCAATGGAAAGGGACTCAATCCTTAGGGACCACTAGAGAGAAAGCAGGGCTGTAGCAGACCTTGCCAAGTGGGCTGAAGCAGGTGAGGAGGAAACTGGCAGGTGCCATATGTTGGTAACAAGGAGTCTTTCATGTGTGCACCAAACACTCCACCTGGAGACTCCTAGAAATAACTGCATGAAATTTGGGGGTGGCCAGACAGTTCTGCAACAGCTGGTCCTTACAACAGCTAGGAAATAAAAGTGCAGAAGATTACTTGTAGTATTATTTTACTTGTAACCACAGGCTAGTGGATTGTGGTATGGTCTAAAGAAACTCAGGTCAGAACATCTTAAGGATTTTCAAACACAAATTAATGGGAATATTATATCCTAACCTGTTAATCTGATAATTGAAGTATATTTTTAAAGCATAGTGAACTTCAGCTTTTTTTTTTTTTTTTTTTTTCTTGTAAGACTTCGTGCATGACTTCAGCTTCACTTTCTCAAGAGAGGCCAAAGTGCTGAGTCACTTAAAAAAAAAAAAAGAAAATAAAGACTGATTTTGCTCCTAGGGCTAGCCTCAGTGATGACCTCAGCAGCACTTTTTCCCCCTGGTTGTGATTTCTGTGATGCTTAAGGACGTCACATTGCACAATCTTAATAAGGTTTCCAATCAGCCCCACCCGCGCTGGCCCCACACTCACCCTCCAACAAAGATTTATCAAATGTGGGATTTTCCCATGAGTCTCAATATTAGAGTCTCAACCCCAATAAATAGGAGACTGGAGATGTCTGAGGATCATTCTGCCCTCAAGCCCACCAGGAACAAAAGAGAGCTCCATCTGCCCTCCAGGAACCAAACTATGAACTCTCTCTCCACAAGTAAGTGAAGGAAATCTCAAGCCCTGAGACTGCCTGGCTGCTGAGTGTTGTGGGAGGGAGCATGTGGTGTGTCGGCGGTGGGCTGGCGGCCAGCCAGCAGCCAGCAGCACAGCTCTCCCAGCTGTGCAGGCAGCTCACTCGTGCTCTTCCTTCCCTCCGGCACAGGCACCTTCAATCCAGTTGCTTTCTGCCTGGGGCTGCTCCTAGCGATGGCTTCTGCTTTCCCCACCGGGACATCCCTGGAAGGAGATTCCAAAGATGAAGGCACTGATGCAGACAAAACTGTAAAATTCATGACCACCATCCGCTTCCAAGTCACTGAACTAAGAAAGGAGGTGGGTAGGCTTGACTCTGGGTGAGAAAGTGCTGATATAGAGCATTCATGCTCCTTGTGCCTGGATGTGGACAAGGGTATAGGGAATTCTTCGCTGGGTTCTGGGACAGATTAGATTTGAGGCCAAAGGGGCAGAGGGAGTAGATTGTCTTCTATAATCCTGCTCTGCTGCTGATCTCTGGAAATTGCTTTCCTTCCTGGGAAATACAGAATGGAGCTGGAGCCCATGGCCCCTGGCCCATTCCCAGCTCCACACTTGCCATGATCTGAGGGTCTCTGGTTCTCAGGAGTCCCTTCTCCCTAACCAAAAATAAATCTGTCAGCCTTCTTTTTGCCCTTGGAAGATTAGAGAAGTACTGCCAGAAATGAATGTTCAGCTTCTCGAGGCAGCTGTGGTACTTTTCAGTCATGCATACTCAGTGGTTACAGCCTTCTAAAGTTATTCCAGCTAAGATGCATCCATATAGTCCACAAAATTGGAATCATCAACAACAGGTTAGAGCAGCCCCAAAATGTTCTATTTATCTTTTCTTTCTTTTTTTTTTTTTTTAATATTGTGTATTCAGTGAAAGTTTACACGGCAAATTCGGTTCCCGTTTGACAATTTCTATACAAATTCTTTAGTGACATTAGCTACATTTTTCACAGAGTGTCAACATTCTTTTTCATTGTCTTCTGGTTGTTTCATTGGCCCCCCGAGCTTTAAATTCAAGCTATCTGGTTCTTGTTTGATAACAAGGAAAGAACACATAAGAGGGGTCTGGAAGCCTGGCTTGTAGTTCCTGTTCTGCTAAACCAGCTTTGTGATCTTGGGCAAATCCTTAGCCACTTCTGGACCCCATCTTTAAAATTATGGGGTTAGACTAGCTGTTCTCACAGGTCCTTCTAGCTGGAAGATTCTATCGCTCTAGTTACATTTGCCACTTAATTATCAAAATTATCACTTACTAAGTACCTAGTATGAGCCATGTACTTCACGTGAATTTGTCTAAGCCTCCCAGAAACTTACTTACAAAGATGCTGTATAATTATTCCCAATTTGAAGATAAGCAAACTGAGACTCAGGATAAATAACAAGCCTGAAGGCACAAGAGAGCCTAGAATTGAACCAGGTGGGAGCACTGGTAGTGTAGTGCCTAAGGTATCTGACTGCTAATAAGAAGGCTGGCAGTTCATACCCACCAGCCACTCCACTACTTCCATAGAGATACCACCTCAGAAAGCCAAGTAGGGGTGCTATGAGTCAGAATCGACTCAACAGCCGTGAGTTTGGTTTTTTATTTTTGTGCCCTCTACGTTGTTTGCTAGGATGCTAATGGCTTGTGACTACATTCTTCTTAAAGACCTTCCTGGCTATGATAGACCATGAATCAGCCCTCTAGTGGTGTTTATTTTAGAGGCACCTGTCATAAAGAGGAGCTCTAGTGGCATTGTGGTTAAAGCTTTGGGCTGCTAACCAAAAGGTTGGTGGTTCAAACCCACCAACAGTCAACTTCTGTGAAGATGTACAGCCTTAGAAACCCCATGGGGCTGTTCTACTCTGCCCTATAGGGTCACCATGGGTCAGAACCAACTCAACGGCAGTAGCTTTGGTTTGGTTTAAATGATAAAGAAGGAGCCCTGGCCGTGCAGTGTTTAAAGCACTTGATTGCTAACTCAAATACATAAATTTCTCTACAGGAGAAAGATGTGGCAGTCTGCTTCTGTAAAGACTTCACTCACTGCCGTGGAGTTGGATCTGACTCATACCGACCTCTCCTTGGGTTTCCAAGGCTGTATCACTACGGAAGTAGATTGCCCAACCTTCTGAGGAGTGACTGGTGGGTTTGAACCACGAGCCTTCTGGTTAGCAGTCAAATGCCTTAGGCACTGCGCTACCAGAGGTCCTCTGTAAAGATTTACAGCCCTGGAAACCTATGGGGCAGTTCTATTCTATCCTATAGGGTTGCTATGAGTCAGAATCGACTTCACAGCAATGGAATTTTTTTTTGGGGGGGGGGATTATATGCTAAAGAGGAGACCTGCTGGCCCAGTGGTTAAAGTGCTCAGCTGCTAAGCAAAAGGTTGGCAATTCAAACCTACCTGCTGTTCCATGAGAACATTGTGGCAGTCTGTTTCCATAAAGATTTAAAGATTTTTAGAGGCTTGGAAACTTTATGAGAGCTTGGTGGTGTAATGCCTAAGGCCTTTGACTGCTAACCAGAAGACTGGCTGTTCAAACCCACCAGCCACTCCTCGGAAGGAAGGTTGGGCAATCTACTTCCCTAGTGATATTGCCTCGGAAACCTAAGGAGGGGTCACTATGAGTCAGATCCAACTCGATGGCAATGCCTTTCTTTTGTTTTGGAAACTCTATGGGACAGTTCTACTCTATCCTATAAGGTCACTACGAGTCAGAACCAATTCTCAATGGCCATGGGTTTGGTTTATATGATAAAGATTATGATATTCCTTTCTAGATGTGTGACAAATATAACAAGTGTGAAAACACTACGGTGGCACTGGCAAGAAACAATCTGAACCTTCCAGAGATGACAGACAAAGACAGATGCTTCCATTCCGGATTCAATCAGGTATGAACTCATCACATTTACTTTTAGCTATTCCTTAGGTAAAAGCTCTCTTTCTTGCATGTAGTATATATACATATAGACATATGCAGACAACAAAGAAGATAGACGTAAAGTTCATTATGTAACTTTCATGAGGAAAGAATTTAAAGTTTTCTTAAAAAGCTATTTGTTTTTTAACATAGTCAGAAATGGCCTCTCTGTGTTCAGGTTTGCGTATCTGTCAAATGTTAAGAGTGAAACTCCAGCAGGTTTAGCTAGTTTGTCCTGGATAGAACAGACCAGTGACCTTTCTCCTCGTTGGCTGCCCCGGGCAGGATCCTGCCCCTCCTTCCCTGCTAAGGTCATTCTCTACACTCTTCTCCTTCCAAACAGTGCACTGACTTCTCAGTATTCCATAAAAGCAGGTCACAGCCCAACACTGACAAGGGCAGAAGTTCAGCCAAAGGGAAGAGCACCAAGGGGAGAATTAGAGAAGGGTTCCCACTGCCATCTAGCATCTGTTGGGCTTGGGGTGAAATTGATTAAGTCGTACTTCTGATTGCTCAGATACGTAAAGTGGGGCAACTGATATTGTCCAATGTCTCAAAACATGATGCCTAAGAAGTACTTGAAGTTCTCTGGAGGAGCAAGGGAAGAAAAGCTAAATTATATCTATTCTTTTAAAATCTTTCTATCTTTCTAGCAATGACCAATTTTTCCCGTGTCTTTCCTCTTAGGAGACTTGCCTAATGAAAATCATCACTGGTCTTTTGGAGTTTCAAATATACCTGGATTATGTGCAGAACAAGTTTGAGGGCGAAAAGGGAAACATCATAGCTGTGCAGAACACCATCAAATCCTTAGTCCAGAACCTGAAGCAAAAGGTAAGTGTCTGTGTCTGCCAGTCCTGTCCTCACTTAGCATGGGGCTCAAAGAATTCTCCCTAGAGAACTTGAGGATGCCATGTCAATTCTAAAAAGATGTATACGTAAAGGAGAAGTATTTCCTGATAGGTAAATCTTTTTTATTTTTTTGGAGAATGCAAATGACATTGATAACTATATTTAAAACTATATTATATGAGGTAGATTTTAACATCAATATCGTATAGCTTGATGAATGAAAAAATGTATCTGCTGAGACAGGAGGAGGCACATCCAAGCATGCTCAGTGACCTATAGTAACAAAGAACAGAGAGCACAAAAATTATTTTAATTATTGCCAAGGGACGTTTTTGTCATTCTGGTAGTTTTCCTACTTTTTATTAGAAGAGTTAACGCAGAGAAATGGCCAAAAGCTGAAGGGTGCAAGAGGAGGTACCAAGGGCTTTGATCACTCACCAGCTAACTATTCAAATGCCAAGTAATGGAGGGTTGACTGCAAAAGGTGTGAATGAGCTACTGGGCCTTTACTAGCTATTTTCCTTAAACTATTTCTCACACCTTAATGTGCACATGAATCCCCTGGTCATTTTATTACAATGAAAAGTCTCATTCTGCAGGTCTGGAGTGGGGCCTAAAATTTACGTTTCTAACAAGCACCCAGTAATGCTGATGAAGCTCCAGGATCTCACTTGAAGTGCAAAGCTTCTAACAAGTTATTTCTCCCTATGTTCTGTAGGTGTTTTCCCTGCCTCTTCATACCCCTAGATCAGAGTCCACACCCAGCCCACAGTAGATTCTCAATAGATGCTGGATGGATGGGGAAGAGGGAAACCAGAGAAAAGCAGCAGAATTAGAGACTACTGAAGAACCCACCACAGAGCTTTTAATGATGGGTATTTCAATCACCTAGTCAACAAATATCTATGAAATTCCAGCTATCTTTGAAGCAGTGTTTCATATAACAGAACAGAAGACAAATAAGATTCAGTTCTGTCCTCAAGAGGCCACAAAGGGATTATTATAATTCAGTTGCTCTGAAAGGGGTCTAAGCAGTATGGGCTCAGAGTAGAAGCACCTCACCCACCCTGCAAGGCAGGGCAGGTGGCCCCAGTTAGTCTCATCTGCCTCAACCTTGAACATCTGTTTACCCACTACACAAATCATCCCTCTGCTGCAAAGGATTTCTTCAATTTAAACAATACATTTTTCCCCCTTCAGGTAAAGAATTCAGAAGCAGTAACCACCCCTGACCCAAGCACAAATGCTGGTCTGCTGTCTAAGCTTCACTTGCAGAGTGGGTGGCTGAAGAACACAACGATTAACCTCATCCTGCAAAGCCTGGACGTCTTCATGCAGTACAGCCTGAGGGCTACTCGGATGTTACCCGGACATCTAAAATCATTGTAGTTCATGGGCACTCCTTCATCTGCTCAGAAACCTGTCTTGTAGGCACATAACTTATGTTGTTCTCTATGAAGAACTAAAAAGTATGAGCGTTAGGACACTATTTTAATTATTTTTAATTTATTGATATTTAAATATATAAAGTTGAGTTAATTTATATAAGTGATATAAATATTTATATTTTTATGAAGGGCCACTTGAAATATTTTATATATTAGTTTTGAAATAATAACATAAAATGGCTATAAAGTTTGAATATCATCATTTCAGAGCCAGATCATTTCATGGAATATACAGGCTTACCTCATATAAATTGCTAACTTGTATGTATTTCTAAAGAAATATTTATATTATATTTATATAATTTTAAAATTGTTTTTATATCAATAAATTGCCTTTTTAAAAAAAAATCAGCTAAGCCTATGTGTGTCTGTCTGGTGAAGGTTAATCTTATCACTGTGGTCTACCACTATTTTATTATATATAAATAAAATAATGGTAGTGGTAGTGATAAGATTATTGCCATATGTATATATATACATACATACACATACCAGGAGCTCTGATAGAGTAGTGCCTAAGGCACTTGACTGCTAACCAGAAGGCTGGCAGTTCAAACCCACCAGCCATTCCTCAGAAGGAAGGTTGGGCAATCTACTTCCATAGTGATACTGCCTTGGAAACCCAAGGAGGGGTCGCTATGAGTTGGGTCTGATTCGACGGCACATAACAACAACAGCAACAACATACATACATATACCAGGAGAAAGCCATAATTGCACACCTACTAAGTGCCAGATACCATACTAAATGCATTGCATCCATCATATTATTTAATCTCAGCACTAGCACACTCTTTTACTGGTATGAGATAGTAAGTGGTGTACCTAAGTAAGTAACCCTGCTGGAAAATAAGACACAGGGCCAGGTTTGAAGCATGCCTCCAGGTTCCCTATCCTTAACCTTTAGGCCTCCCAGAGAACTGAGAGATGATATACAAAACTCCAAGGTGTGTTAATAATACAAGGAATAAATTTAAAGGCAACCAACCAAATGCCTTTGCGACCATGCAGACACTTGTATGATACATAGCAATGTGTAAGCTTTCAAAAATAACTAGAAGTTCTGTCTTCCTCTGGGTTCTGCAGACTCTACACATACTTGTCTGTCACACCATGTACCACATTATATCACAACTTAAAATTCATGGATTTTTCTTTCCAGACAATTTTTGGGTACCTCAAAAAGGCAGACTATACTCATCTTTATATCTTAGGCTCAGAATCTGAACATAAACCCATTGCCATCCAGTTGATTCTGACTCACAGCAAGCCTGTAGATCAGAGTGGAACTGCCCCACAGGGTTTCCAAGGCTGAAATCTTTACAGAAACAGAGTGCCACATCTCCTACAGAGCAGCTTGTACATTTGAATCACTGACCTTTTGGTTATCAGCCAAGTGACTAACCACTATACCACTAGGGTTCATTGAACCTGAACGTAAGAGGGCCCAATAAGCATTTGTTGAGTGGTGAAAGCATACACAGAAAATCAAATATAAGACACCGTCCTTCCCAGGCACATATACTGCTAGCCAGTGATTAAGGAAATTGCCAGTATTGTGCACTTACATACCTTCATCTTAAGGAAAAATAGCAAGAGTTAGAAAGAAACATCTTAAGAACTTCTACAGGAGGCAATGATTAAAGAATAGTCTATACCTGTACATCTCCCTCTATTTTCTTTTCTACCTGCAATCCTTTCCCGCTGGCAATATTCCTCAACTGCCTTCTTCCCCTTCCTACCCTCCCCAGTTCAGAGTGGGGAGGCAGAGGCAATCTGGACAACTGCACATGACCTCTCCATCTCACATCAACATTGTTGGGAATTTGGTAAAGATTCCCCTTTCTGACCCCAGCAATATAAAGTTCTTCTAATAAAGCTTCCCCTTACACTAGCCACCATACACTTATTCCCCCAGGGGAGGGGTTCTGCCAGACAAGGGAAAGTCCACAGAGGCCAACAACTGAATGGAGCTGAACAAGAAGGAGCCACACACTCTGACTTCTAGAGACCACACATCGTAAGTGGGCTTCCCAAAATCAGGGTCAAATTAAAGAGCAAAGAGAAACAACAGTTGACAAATGCCTCTATTTTTCAGACAAAAATTGCATTGAGCACCAAATATAAGTCAGGAATTCTAGGCATAAAGAGGTAAAATAGACATTGTTCCTGCCCACACATAGTTCACATTATAGAAGGGAAAACAGACATTGAACAAAGAATGTAAGTTTGATGATGCTCAGAAAAAAATAGGAGGTGTACTTAGAACTGGGTTAGGGGGACCTAAATAGGTCTGTAGGGCAGTTATGGAGGCTTCCTTGAGGAAGAAAGATTTTAGCTGGGATGTGAAAGGTATGTAGGCATTATCTAGGCCAAGTTGGGTTTGAAGAGCATTACAGGCAGAGGGAACAACAAGTGTAAGGATCTGAATCAACAAAGGGCACACTATGGTTGAGAAATTGAAAACTGTTCAGTATGGCCAATGCATAAAGAGCAAGAAGGAAGGTGGTTGAAATGGAGTTGAGAGGGACCAGATCATGGACAGTATCAGAAGCCATATTAAAAATTGAAGAATTTACCTCACATGTAAAGAAGGCACTGGTATTTTAAACAGTGGAATATGAGAATTACATTTTAATAACATCTCTTGAGCTGTAGCATGGAGAATGGATGGGAAAGGGGCTGGAAGAGAATGTTGAGGGAAATTCCAGAGGCCATCACTGTAGTCTAGGGAACAGATGATAATGGCCTGAATTAGGGTGGTGGCAATGACATAAGAAGAGAAAGCAGTGGCACCGACAGTGAAAAGACAGGAGCTAGGTTCAGTGGGATTGGGTGATCAATAATCAGGATGCAGGTATTTCAGTGACACAGTGGAGGCTCTAAAGGATGGGGAAAAACTAGGAATTAGACAGAGGAATAAAAGCACAGAGAATTTTGGATTGGAGGATATTCATTAATTCATTTATTCAAATATTCTTTGATCATCTAAAATGTGCCAGACTCTCTGCTGGGTCTTAGGAATACAAAAGGTAAATAAGACAGAAAAAGTCTCTGTTCTCAAAGAACTTACAGTCTAGGGAAACAATTTAAAGAAACAACTACCATGCCATGTGCTAAGTATAGGAAATTGTAATAGTACACAGAAGGAGCACCTAATCTAGACTGGAGGGTTAAGAAAGACTGCCCAGAAGAAATAACATTTAAGTTTATATCTAAAGAATACATAGGATTCTACCAAGTGAGGAGGCAGGGGCAGTTTGTTTGCTTGCTTTTCCTTGTTAAATGTTGAGGGATTTTTCAGTTTTTTCTGGTAGCTTCATGACGTCACTTTGATGACTAAGGTGTACCTGACCCAAACCATAGTCTTTTCAATTGCCTCATATGCATGTGAAAGTTGGATAATGAAAAAGGAAGACAGAAGAAGAACTGATGAAAAATGTGGTGATGGTAAAGAATATTGAATATATTGTGGACTGTCAGATCTTAGAAAAAATACAATCAGAATGTTCTTTAGAAATGAGGATGGTGAGACTTTGACTTGCTTACTTTAGATACATCTTAGGAAAGATCAATAACTAGAAGAGGACATCATGTTTAGTAAAGTAGAGGGCCAACAAAATGAGGGAAACCCCTAATGAAATAGATGCACAAAAGCCACAACAATGAACTCAAACATACCAACTATGATGAAGACAGCAGAGGACTGAGCAGTGATTCATTCATTTGTTTATACATAAGATCGCCATAATTTATACATAAGATCGCCATAAGTCAAAACTGACTACATGACAACTAGCAACATCTGGTGGCATGGTAAGAAAGTAAGGCTCCATGGATGGGGAAAAAAAGAGTTAGAACAGACTCAGCTCTCTGTAGCAAGTCCCAGCAACAGGGCAGATAGTATCAGGGAAGCAAGAGGTGAAAAAGAGAGCACAACAAGGAGCACTTTGAGGCAGATGTGACTTAGAAACTTCAGATAATGTAATGTCTAGCAGCCAATTTTAATTTCTTTTCCCCCTTAATGATAAAACTTCCATAAGCTTTATTCACAAAAAAAAAAAAAAAAAAAACTTCACTGCCATCGAGTCATTTCTGACTCATAGCAACACCCATTGGGTTTCTGAGGCTATAAATCTTTATGGAAGTCTTCCTTCTGTGGAGCAGCTGGTGGAATGTAAATATTTCAATCTTGTGCTGTAAATATTTAAATCTTGTGCTAGCCCAGCTCTGAAGAATGAAGGAGGTCCAAGTCTACCTTTCAGGAAAAAGTGGACAATGTAAGACTCAGATATGAGATCTCAGGAAGTGAGCAACAAGAACCAAAGATAAGAGCTCAAAGAGAGAAATAACAAGCAACAACCACAACATGTAAATTCCACCAAGAAAACCAAGAATCCTCAGGAATATTCAGGAGAGGTTTGAATTTCCTGTAGCCAACTTGGGATGGGAACACTGGTTATTATATTTGGATTCTAAAGCAAAGAATATCTGAAGAATAGATCTGATGCACTGAGCACCAGCCACTGAAGACCAGACGAATTGTGGGATGACATCAAGGACATCATACGTGAAGAAAGCTAAAGGTCATTTAAAAAGCAGAAAAGGAATTCTGGTAAGATGGCAGAATAGGCTGAAAGACTGCACAGACCCTCTTCAACAAAGAAAAAGGGAATCAATTAACACAGATACAGAAGATAATCCTGGACCCCTGAGCCCTGAGGGGAAGGACATAGAAGTGAACTAAACTCCAACTAGCAGAAGAATTTGCATGAAAACACCCAAAAAAGAGACATATGGAGCTGTGGACGGGCAACAATCCTGATGGCACAGACAGCTTGAATATTGCCAACTGGTGGTAGGACCTTAGAATTAACCTAAAAATTGACCCTGCTAGACAGGGACTGCATGGAGGACTGCCCTGGTATCTGGGGAATAAAA